GGAGATGGGGGTGGCCCACGGCGGTGTCCCCCATGAAGGCAAGAACGTTGATGACACCGGCGCTGCTGATGTTAAGGAAAACGTTATGATGCCCGATGAGGGTGGGGAATGTGTACAGCGGGCGCAGGACGAGAAGGTGATGGTGCTGTTGGAGACGATGGACAAGGAAAAGCTGGCGAACAATACTATGGAGAAATCCACGGGTGCAGAGTACATCTAATTAGAGGGCTTGCTTTGTTTGATAAAGTTCTACCCTCAAATCCCCTGTATTGTGATTTCCAGTATTCGTAGAAGCTAACAACTATTTAAAATAACCCCTAGTGTTTGCTCATTTCCCGAACCCTGCCAATAGAAGTGGTCCCCAATAACCCAGACCCAGTGGGTCATACAGTCAACGTAGACCAACGAGGTCCGTCGTTTTTGAGCGTTAAAAAGCTAAACTTTGCGGAACATATTTCACGTCTCCTCTCGTCGCTTTCCTAGTCCAGCATATACACTATCGCACTATTCTGGTTTCATTCGAGGTTAGAGGGGTCCGTTCCTTCTTATTACCTACTTGTTTGCTTTTTCATGGAACAGAGTAGATGGGGGTTAGGAGCTATTATAGCCTAGTTATTCCGAACCCCTGGGCCTCAATAAAAAAACATTAAACTGCCTCTACATTTTCCCCTAATTGGAATTTGATCTTCGCTTCTATTGTCTATTTGTGGAATTTCGGGGGGATATGAACCGTGTCTGAGCTCAAGTGGCAGGTTGGGTGGGGCTGGTTACCGCCTGGCTATCCCGTCATCGAATCTCAATGGGAAGATAACGGGATGGCTGCGGGTACTACAACTCAGAATGCAAGCCGTCCATCATTTGGAATAATGTGAGGTCAAATTCTTAAATTCCCCCCGCGGAAGGTAGAACCGCTATATTCCCATTCATTCCCACCCACCCCAGGTGGTCTCTTCATAGTAGTTTAGATATTTCTACGAATGAGCTATTCACCGATCTGGTTTCACAACATCATATTAATACCATCCCTCCAATGGAAATAAAGAAAAACACAAAGGTTCAAACACTACCAAGCCCCCCAATATTATCAGACAAATTCCTTGATGACTAGCTGGTTTCAGCGCTCTACTGTCACAGGAGGGGAAGAGAAAGCCACCCCGAGACTAGGGTAGCTGGAATTCTTCTCCGTACTTTTTTTCACATAGATATCCTATCAGGAGTCACCAGAAATAGTGTTCCTTACGAGCCGAGAATCTCGAAGGCTCGGCTCGAGCTCAGTGGGCCGACGTACCCCCAAAGCCTGGCTGACTCGGCCTCATCCAAACTTCGGCTCGAGCTCTTTCATCCGCTTTTTTTTTGATTCCAAACCGGTAAGGAAAAGAGGAGAAGGGACTAGTACCTCTAAGAATACCTTGTATATGTCGCCCATATGCTCGTAGGCGAGAGAAAGAAATTTAATAACTTCGAACTTTCTCAGGAAGCGCTTTGCACACACCTTTGTTGGCCCAATTCGGAGCAGGGAGCCTAGTACAGATCCCACTCTACTCTGAAATTTTGCTGGACTCATGAGTGGTTGAGGATCGGGGAGTTGGTTAGATGGCAATGAGGCATCCTAAGTACAGGAAGTCAATTAGACTTTCCATAAAACTCCAGAGCTGGTTTGATTTACACAAGATAGGGGAACTGGCTAAGAGGAAACCTAACGTGTTTGGAGCAGAATTTGGAGATCCGCTTTCATGTGCTCAATATTTGGAACATATCCTCTGCTCTAGGTCACTCTGCGGATCCCCCCGTAGCTCGCTCTACCGAGTGATAGCAGGTGACCACTAACAAAGCCAGGTTCGAGCTGGCTCGAGCCTTAATTCCAGAGCATATTTCGGGAGGCTCGAGGCCTACATTAAATCTCAAGAGCCTCGAGCCCATATGCTGTCGAGGGAGCCAGCTCGAGCCAGTAGCCGGACCCGACCCGACCGGCTCCTGACTTAACCAAAGACGAGAACCCCATCTCAAGAAGCGGATTCTAGCGCGAATTTTACAGAGAGACAGTCTGAGTAGAACGCATCTCTCACGATGTACGCTTGCCAGCTGCTTAGCCTACCCTATGAGTGGGGAGATAACTTACCCTATAATTTGGGAGATAACCTACCCCATGAGTTGGGAGATAACTTACCCTGTGAATTGGGAGATAACCCACGCTATGAGCCGGGAGAGAACCAACGGTCAGCATCAAACCCTAACTTTCGATCTCCAGAGTTATGATGCCCCAACCCCTCCAACGGACCCGCATAACAAGCCTCTTATCACTAATCGAGGATTTACTCTCACCCCACTCCACCACCGTCATCACAGCTCATACCACCAAGAAGAACAAAGCAAAATTTCCGACAGCAGCCGCAAAGATGGGAAGGAAATCTCTATCAACTGTCAGAAACGCCAAAACCCCCAAGTACATCACCAAAATTTCCATGACCTCCGAGAAGTACTATGAGCTTAAGATATACATCAAGTCTATCGTCCGCCCCGGCACTCCCGGTTTCGAATGTGAGCGTTTGGGCACCAAGGAAAACAAGCAGATATACCGCCAATGGCTTAATAGCGCCCTTGAGGAGATTGGGCCCAGGTTCTTCCCTGGAGGTGGGAAGAGTTTGGTTTGGCCAAAGGATCGTGATCGGTATGTTTCCTGTTATCTCATTTTATTCCAATGGATTTTTACACTCCACAAGCAGGTTCCGATGGACTAACGGTGCATGACACAATAGTATTTTCAGAGCTGTTCACCAAACTGTTCGTGTCTTGAGCATTGGGATTAGGAATAATCACAAGAAGGAGGAATTGAGCCGGGCTCATACGAATGGAGATGATAGCGAGACGGAGATTATCCAAGATGGTGGCCCTTCTGAAGGCAAGAATACTAGTGACAGCAATGGCGCCAGTGTTAAGGAAGACTCTATCACGCCCGATGAGGATGAGAAATACGCACTGTGGGAGCAGAGGGAGGAGGAGAATATGATCGCGTTTATGGAGATGATGGGCAAGGAGAATCGGGTGGACGAGAATCGGGTAGACGATGCGATGGAAGAAGGGGTGGATGCAGAGCTCGTCGAGCTGGAGGACTTGCTTGGCTTGATGAAGGTATGTTCCCCATTCTATTGTGACCTCCAATGTTCACAGAAGCTGAAAATTGTTTGCCATAGCCCGAGGGGTTAGCCCATTTCCCGAACTTGAATGATGAGCACTTCGATTGGGATGAAAGCCCGGACCCCAAAAGCCCAGACCCGGTGCGTCATCCAGCCAACGTAGACCAATAAGGCCCATCATTCCTGGGAGTTAACAAGATAAATCTGGTGGAATAGATTGGACCCCTTCTCTTGTTGCTTCCCTAACCTGGCATTAACATTGTCACACTGTTCCGCTCCCATTTGACACTCGAAACTGTGCTCCACACCATGTAGTTTATTACTGCTTTGTGGGTCACTGTGGATGAGGGCCAGTAAATGTACTACTAGTCTAGCTGCTTCGAACACTTGATGCTCAATAATAAAACATTAAACTATTTCTACAGCTCTACTTATTTGCGATCCCACATTCACTTTTCCTAATTATTCGCGGAACTTCCCTAAAAAAGTAAGTAGATTGGAGCGGGCGGAACCGGCTCGGCGAGTCACAGAATCTCAATCGGTGAAGTGAGTGCCGGCACGGTGACCTGCGAGACACGCAATATCTCGGAACATGCCAGTGCCCACCATTTTTAGAACAAGAAAGCAGTAACATGACCGAACCGTACCGAAGGAAGTATTGTAGGCCAGTTATATTGCCTTACATATTTCCGCGAATACATTTCAGTAACACATTTCAGTAAATACGTGGGGCTTTTGTCGGTTAACAAAACTAATTGAATACCGAGTGTGTGAAGCTACGCGCTGTGTACTGTACAGTACATATCATACCACCTTTCACAATAAATCCTCTCCCCCCCAAAGAAAAAAATATCCGACCCTGATTCATACTCGACCATAATCTATCAAAATCTTTTCCTTTATTCATTCCAAGAAATAATACACCCAAATTTTAGAAGCAATATCCATATATTTATTCCTATAGTGCTAAGAACCCAGGTGAATATATAAGGAGATTGTACGTATGATATTATTATATGAGAGCCATGATCTTGTGGGAAATTTTTTACACTCCCGGCATGTCCCATTATGGCTGCAAATAAAACAGTTGTAAGAGGGTGTTAAGACAAGAGAGTAAATGTAGAAAATATCTTGAGACCAGGAAGATACAAGACGATACATACTTGAGAGAGGCCCTAGAAGGTACAATACCACCCACCAAGATATTGTTAAGAAAATTATATATCCCCCATATCTAGGATAACTGTTAGGTGAAAATTAGCAGGAAAAAAAAAAGATTCAAGAAATCAGATATATTAGTTAGCATATATCTTTCTTCCCCTTAGTAACCATGATATTAAGCTGGTTGAACTTATAGAAGAGGGTCGTCATTACAGTAAGAACTCGAATAAACGATCCTCGTGCTATGTAGTCCAGAATTTCCTCACCTGAAAAAGGGGTGAGAAACGCACCAAAAAGTCTGCTCTCCGAGACAAATAAAAAAGAAAAAAACACCAGACCTTACTAGGAAAGGCAAGTCCAACGTCCTAGCACAAACCTCGTTTATTCGAGTTCTTACGGTACTCGAGAATGGAAAAAGATAATTAGTATGATATCCATTATTGCTCGGCCAATTTTACCCAACAATACACCTTAGGGTATTAACGACGCACTTCCCAAAAAAAAAGGCTTTCAAAATCTCCCTAGATCCTTTTCCCTCTTCACCCCCTGTTTTTTCTCATAATTCTACAGCCAGTGATGGTACCCAGCTGAACCCCAAACCCCCACCCCCCAAGACCAGGCGCCCTTCCCGACCGCCCAACACTCCCTTATATCACACCATGCCTCAACTTATCAAGGACCTGCTCCCACACCACAACCTCCACCATCGCGGAAAAGAGAAAACAAAATCGATCAAACCACAACAGCAAAAATGGGAAGAACAACTCGGGAAACTATCAGAAACGCCAAAATCTCCAAGCAGATCACTCAAACATCCATGACTCCCGAGCAGTACTCTGAGCTCAAAGTTTACATCAAGTCCATCATCCTCCCCGGCACTCCCGCTTTCGAAGGTGAGCGTTTGGGCACCAAGGAAAGCAAACAGATCTACAAAAAATGGCTCAACAGCGTCCTTGAGGAGGTTGGGCCGAGATTTTTCCCCGGAGGAGCGAAGGGATGGGTTTGGCCTGAGAACCGTTACGAGTATGTTTTTGTCAATTCCTTTTTTTATCTTTTTGTAGTTTTTGCTTCTCCGGTGGGCGCTCTCGTGAACTGACAGTGGAGTCATTTCACAGAATATATAAGGCTATTCATCAAGTTGTGCGTACCCTGAGTATCAGGGTCAGAAGGGATTACCAGAAGAGAGAACTCACAACTTCTCGTGAGGAGGGGGGCGACAATGAGATGGTGATGGCCCAAGACAATGACTTTTATGAACACAGGATGGTTGACGACACTGATGTTGCTAATGTTAAGGTGGATGTTATGATCTCCGATAAGGATAAAAAATATGTGCAGAGGGATCAGGGTGAGGGGAAGATGTTGGCACTAAATGAGATGGCGGGCAAGGAGAATCAGGACGACGATATGATGGAAGAAGAAATGGACGCAGAGCCGATTGAGCTGGAGGACTTGCTTGGTTCGATGAAGGTATGCCCACGAACCCCCTATATCGCAACTTCCAGGATCTGTAGAAACTGACAACTACCCACCATAGCCCGAGGTGTTTGGCCACTTTCCGAATTTGGATGATGAATATTTCGATTGGGACGAAATCATGGACCCCAAGAGCCCAGACCCGGTGCGTCATCCACCCAACGTAGGCAGTGGGCCAGTGAGGTGCACGATTTCGGAGTGTCAAAATACTAAACTTTGGGGAACAGATTGCGCGCCTCCTCCTGCTGCTTTCCTAACTTAGGAGCAACACTATCGCGCCGCCCAATTCATGGGGGCTGCTTCTGAATACTCAGTTTCTTGCTCTCCCTCACTCATGGGGCCACAAGCAGATCAGCAACGGTGCCGGCCCCATTATTTAGAACGACTAATGTTCAATGACAAAAAAGTTAAACCCCTTTTATAAAATAAAAACAAACATACACCCAATTTGGAGAAGTTTTTGTAGAAAAATCGGAATCCAAGCTCACGTTAACCATTCACCCGCCACGATGCCCCAACAGTCTAACCGAAAATACGACCGGTATTTCGTGAAATCCAAGTGCACGATCTCAAATGAGAAAAAAAAAAAACAATAGAACAACATGACCCTCTACCCCCCAGCCCTGCCCTCAACCAACGAGTGATACCCCATGACCCAACCAATTGCAACAGAGCCATCAAACCAAAAACGCAGCAGAGAACGGCAAACTCTATGGAAGGTCTCACGGGACCATCCTCTCTTCCACGCCGTAACACCACTTCAGAGCTTTACCACGACCGTGCAATGCTTGGACCAGAAGGCGGACAGGAAGGGGGTATGCTACAGACAAATGAATACCGCGGAGTGCAGTGACGAGTGACACGAAATGACCGTATGAGAGAAACCCCACAACCACCTAGAGCCGACGCCCCGGCGCTGGGCAATCCACCATCAATCAATCAATGACCACACATGGGAGAGAGGCCGAAACCCGAATTGCCGCCATTTCCTAAAAAGCATCCAAAATCTAAGCTACTCGATTCTTTCCAAAGTATCCTAACTTTTAAGTCACTATTACCGCGCATTCTGACTCATTCACGCAGCACCAAACAAAAAAAAAGGAAAAATACTTCAGAAAAGCAGCCCCAATCTCACGCTGAGCGTGGCTTACCGACGATACACGAGGAAAAGGGACTGGCACCGTTGAAAAAAAAAACCCCCCGCGGCTCCTATAAGCACGCACACTACGACAGAAATTCCCCCGAATGTCAGCACCAGACTCAGCCGGAAACTCGACTCAAAAGACACGACTGATATGAGGCGAAAACGAATATTGTGGTATGGGATGATACGATAATAATACTATGCCATCCTGACCGCCACGACAGTATGTACAGCTACCACAATTGCCACACCCAGTATACCCCCTTCCATATCCACAGGACAAAGGCAAAGAAAGATAAACATTAAGAAATCAACCAGCGCCCACCGTAAATGCACGAGAAGGTGAAAGATGAATGATAAAAAAGATAAAGGGTGAAAACATATATATGTAGAATGGAGAAGTGGAAGGATAGCAACCGATCGATCGCCTACTAGTACAACATAGCAAAGGAAGAGACCTAAAAGAAAAACAAAAAGTATGATAGAACGACAAACCAAAACTCCACACCCGTCTCTAAAACATTGGTCTAATAAGCGCGTCACCACTTGCCTCGCCGCAGCCGCTCCCGCCTCCACCCGTACCAGTGCCTCGGCTTGCCTTCGTAGGCCTAGAAGACTTGTTACTGCCACCACCTCTAGTACTCCGAGAGCCGGCGCCACGCGACCCCCGAGTGCCAGCTTGTGATGCTCCGCCGCCGCTGAAACTTTTCCTTCCACCGGAATACCTCTTCGAGCTACGGAATCCGCCTCGTCCGCCTTTTCGAACACGTGTGGTTGACGAGTATGTTGACTTGCTACTGGACGCAGTAGTGACTACTTGTTTGTTCTTGACTATTGTTTAGTTAGCGTTCCGCATTCCCCAAGATTTATCATGTATGTTGGTTAGATACCTTGTGTCATGAGACTCATTTGCAGCTCGGACATTCCGGGAGGTCTAAAGTTTGCGGCACTTGCGGAGCCCCCTCCTCTTCCTGCTCCTGCTCCTCCTCGGCTCGTTTGGGGGAAGTACGATGATGCTTCGCCTGCGTCTTCGCCGTAATCCCCACCATCGTCCGAGTAGTCGGACTCATCAGAACAGGTTTCTTCACCATCGCTCGGTACGACTCGAGAGAGATCTGCGCCTTCAAGATTCTCGCGCTTCTCTTCCGCGTACCCCCTCGAGAGCTGAAGAAAATCGCCTCCAAAAAGCTTCATCCCCTCTGGAGGGAAGGTGACGGCGGCCTCAAGAGACTTGCGATCTAGACATTACCCAAATTAGCAATGGGAAATATGACTATAGGACAAATAAACATGCCTGTCGGAAGCCTTATCCCAATGGTCCTCATCTGCCTATCCTCCAGTACGGATTCAACGCGCTCCCAGCCCTGGCGACACATGATCTTCGCCCGCAATCTCCTAGCATCTTCCATGAATCTATTAAGGACATCCTTCTCATATTCCGACAGCCCGGCAAGTTCAGGATCCTCTCTGATTGGCCTTCCAACCCTATTGGATCCTCTCGTAGCAGCACCAGACCTCCCACGATCCCTTACTGGCATAAACCCAAAGTCATCAGGTATGTCAGGCAAAGGACCATATTCGTCATCCTCATCGTCATCGACAACAAAACCATCATTTTCATACCCATTTATGAAATGGCGACTGAGTGAACTAGCCTCCCGTAACCCCCTCTTTCGAGTAGGAGCTTCCCTAGCATTTCGTGGCGGCGACGAAACATTGGTAGACTGCATTTGCAATTCGGATATCGATCCCGTTACGGTTGTCGACGAGTACGAGGCAGAGGCTGATGTTTTCAGTTTGTCGGCAGACCCAAACGCGCTTTTTGGGAAGCACATGCTCACAATCCTCTTGCCTTTCAAGATTGGCTGGGCCCGACGATTATCAAGCTGCGAAAACAGATGTCAGCCTCACAGACCTACCATTAGATCCAAACCGAACCTACCTTGACATAGCTAACATAGAATCCGGCACCATTCTTGACATGTTCTTCAATTATTGCACCCTCGCCAGCCAGATGATGAAATAACCTCTCACAGTCACTCCTCACCCAACTCTTCCCATATCCATACCCTCGCATCTTCTCGCTTTTTGCATCCTTGTGCGCCTTATTGGCACTACCTCTGAAGGCGTCCATGCAAAACAACATGGTTTTTTCGCTTGTCTGGCCCACGATTTCCAAAGCAGCCCTCGCATAATCACTGACGTCCTGGGTCTCGAACTCTATCCCAGACGCACAGTTATCGCAACTGCTACGGCACTCCTGCTCAGGGAACCTTTCACCAAAGTATCGCAGGACTTGCACTCTTCTGCATTCTGCCTTGTTCTCACAGTATTGCACCACCATCTGCAACATTTCCATCTGCCTACGCTTCTGGTCGCGACTTCCTTCACCGCCCTCGATCATCCGGTACAAGGTTGAGGTATCCGGATAGGCATAGAACAAGAAGCACCCACTGGGCAAACCATCTCTCCCAGCACGCCCGGTCTCCTGATAATAACCCTCCAAACTCTTAGGAATCGTATGATGTATGACGAACCTCACATCCGGCTTATCAATTCCCATTCCGAAGGCAATGGTAGCAACGATAACATTGAACCTCCTCGCCTGCCAATCCTTCTGCAATCGAATCTTCTCATCCGCTTGGAGTTTCGCGTGAAAGTGTTGGGCCCGTATACCACGTGTTCTAAGCTTCTGCGCGGTTTGTTCGCAGTTTCGGCGCGAGAGACAGTAAATGATTCCGGTTTTATTGAGGTACTCGGGTCGTTGGCAGATTTCGACTATGTCGTCCAGAACATTCTTCGTCTTGGGTGAAACTTGATAGTTCAGATTCGGCCGATTGAAGCTCTGGGTAAAAGTCTTCGCTCGTGGCATATCCAGGTTCAACTGAACATCCATCCGCACTTTTTCGGTAGCCGTTGCAGTCAAGGCGACCCAAGGAACACCGGGATACTTCGACTTCAAGTTACCCAAGGTCTTGTAATCAGGCCTAAAGTCATGCCCCCATTGGGAAACACAATGAGCTTCATCAACCACAATTCTGGCCAGTTTTCCCCTTCTGTGTAAGCTAAGAAGTGTATTGAGCATTTTGTCACTCTTGGCAATCATTTCCGGAGTTATATAGAGCAACTGGATCATCTCTTCAACATCCTCATCATGCAAGGAGTCATAGAGTAGTCGACGTTGGTCTTCGCTAATTTCCCCGTTGATGAAGAAAGCCATAATATTCAACTTTTGGAGATGGTCAACTTGATCCTGCATCAGTGATAGCAGTGGAGAAACCACGATGGTAACACCGCGTGTCTTCCCAGATCTTACGATAGCTGGAAGCTGATAGATGAGCGATTTTCCTCCTCCAGTTGGCATAATTACGAAGACGTCGTCGCCAGCCAATGTTGCATTGATAGCTTCGAGTTGGTTGTTCCGGAATCCCCTAAGATTGAAACGTCGTCTGAGAGCATCGGCAACATCACGAGACCATCCATGCCTCATTGCTGGATCGCTCATATCCACGGTTAAAGACCGCTGAACGTGCATTCTCGCGCCTGCCTGTAATTGAGCTACCTGGGCATGCCTCATCTGCTGTGGCTTCCCCAGAACCTGATTTATGTTTTTCATAGGCGGCGAGTTAGCAGCCGTGCTGGCCAACGGCTGTCGAAGCTTGGGCCCTGGGACAGCTGCGACCTCAGGCTCATCATCGCTTATCATGATGCCGAAATCGGCTGCATCTATATCGCTACCATAATCCTCATCACTCTGTATCGCCGGCGCTGGAGCCTCACCATATTCTTCCTCCCAGTCTTCAGGAGGTTCCATCGGTGGAGGGGATTCCGGAGGCCTCATAGAAGGCATATTGCAAGGTCTAGCTTGCGGCGGCAGAGAGGAGATGTTCATAGCAAATTGATCAGAGCCTTGGCCCTTCTTTAGCGGATGATTTTGTGCTTGCCAATTCTCCGGTCCCGATACATCCCGAGGTTGGTCATGCAATTTCCGCCTTCGGGATGGACTTCCAGGAACAAACTGAGTCTGCTGGACGATTTGAGATCCACCAATGCACCCCCCTCCGGAATCACCATCCCCCAGCCGAACCTTCTGTCCCCGCTTTCGGGTTGGCGTTTCAGGCACAAGCGTGGCCCCAGTATGAGTGGTCCGCTTCCTAGACGGGGAAGGTGATTCGTAGGAATATTCCCGAACAGATGCGCTCTCATACATTTCTGTATCACTAGCCTCCAATTCCCTGATTCGGGCCTCGCACAGCGCAATCTTTTCCCGTACAGCAGAGTTCTGTTGGATAAGATCCTGGGGAGGAGTTGCACCTTGATTAAAAAATTCCACCATCCGGTTCGCATTATCGAACCCTTGAGCTTTGAGAGACTCCAACCTGTTTTTTAATCGGGTTAGACTGAACCCCTCGAAGTCATCTCCATCGGTACTTTTCTTCGTCTTTTTTATTTTTTCGGAACGGGGAGTTGATGGTAGTGGAGATTTAGGTCGTTTACTCTTCTTAAGAGGGCTAGGTGACCTTAGCCTTGTAGGAGAATCTATCTGTAAAGGAGAAGGCTGCTTAACAGCATTCCGGCGTCGGGGTGACCTCCTTGGTTCGTGGTTACTAGAGGCAACACCGGACCCTCTATAGTTAAAGCTTGAGTCCATTTGATCCACAACCTCGCCAAAGTCCACATCACCTAATCCATAATCATCCTCCTCCAGCTCCTCCTCTTTCTCTTGAGGACCGAGCGCCCTATGATCCACCAGCTCCGTGACGCTGTCATCACCAACCTCAATAATCCCAGGTATCGGCACACCTTCATCACAGTCATCCTCATCGTCCGAGTCTGGAATAACCCGTCGGCCATCTCGACGACCTCCAGCTGCAGACACCGCTCCACACTTTCTAGTAATTCTCACGGTCCTCTTCTTGCTGTGTGTGATCACTTCCTCCTCCTCTTCCTCCCGCTCCTCTGTGACCTCAAGTTGTGCGGGCGCAGAGGCACCCGGTGCCCCAAGACGAGATGCAAGCCTGGGAACGACGGGCCTTTCCGAGAATTTAACAACAGGTCTTAGTGGGGACCGTTGACGGGGTATAGGAGAGTTCCGACTGTTGAGATCCGGATAGGGTGACTCCCGTAATTGAGACCGAACAGGCGAGTAAGGAGGTGGTGGCTCGTCGTTAAAAATTGGATGGGGCACTGGCGGATGATGCTCCGTACTTAAGTGGCCATCCGGAACCTCAATCCTACCCCTAGATGACTGCACGCTACCAGCTCGGGCACTATTCTCTCGACCAACCTTGGGGACCTTTGCAACGATAGGAGTAGGTAGGGTTTCCCCAGACGACACAGCATCCCCCTGAAACTCATCACTATTCCTCTTTTTTCGGCGCGTTTGAGCAACCTCATTCGCCCTCAATGATTCTTCGTGAAGCAGCCATTCAGCTTCATTCCCGGGCGAGCCGTAATCCTCCTCTGGAACGTCATCTCCCATAAGCCGGGGCGTAAGCCTCTTTGGTCTGGCGGCGCTCGATCTTGCACGAGCAGAGGAATCTCGAGCATCAAGCCGGGACTCGTGTCTTGTTTTTCCAGAGCTTCCCGAACCCCGTGGGGGTTCAGATGTAGTGGCTCGGGAGGGCGGGCCGTCTTGATCGCCCTCACCAGTCAAATCGATAGTATCCACATCCAACAATATGGGCTCCGCACGAGAAGTCACCGGTGCCCTCTTTCGAGCAGTCAAGGCAGCGGGGGCGGGATCTAGAAATGAACACATTAAAATTAGCAAACGACCAGGATAATTACTTCAGCGCCAGGTATATAGTACTATTAGTTTCGGCGGGGGTGGGATAGGCACTGTTCGCCTCATCCCAAGGCTTCTTCCCAAATCTTGGTGCAGGTGCCGTCGTGTCCAGAGGTGGTGACATCATCAATTCTCGACCATATAGCCCAGCTCCCCGAGCCTTCGACCAGCTCGCATGTCTGTTCCTCCGAGTAGTAACGGAAGGTTCGAGCTGCAAGAACGGTATCTCGTCACCCTCGGCCCCTCGAGGATTCTCCTGATGCGCGGACAATGGCAAAGATGGGGGCGGTAAGCTT